CCGGCAGCCTGCATCCCGCCGGGAGGCTGCGAACAGCGGCATCTCCTCCGGCCGTGGCTCCCTCTGCAGCAGAGACCCGCTGAGCCGGAGCATGGACCCGGCCAGATCCAGGACCTCCTGCTGGGGTCTGACTGCTACCCTTTATCCCCGCGGAGCGCAGGAGGAGCACCAGAGGAGAACATCCTCCCTGCTAAGCAGCTCTGCTCACACTGACCCCTGATGTCTGAGGGAAGCATGGCCCCGCCCCCAGACTGACTCCGCCCAAAAGGCTGGCGTCACATGAACCTTCAAAATAAAACAATGTAGCAAATGATTCACAAATCATTACATCCACAGATATTTTAGACATATCTGTCGAAGCACCTGTCTAATGTTCTTCTGTAGCAAATGATTCAGTTCAGCTTCAGCTTGGATGGATGATGGATGGATGGATGATGGATGGATGGATGATGGATGGATGATGGATGGATGATGGGTGGATGATGGGTGGATGGATAATGGAGCCACCAGTTTATTTTCTCCCACCAACAGCTTCAGGTCTCAAATAGATCTTTCCTAAATACAGTATGTTTGTTTGACCTTTGAACTCTGCACTGGTTTCCCTTTAGACCGCACTCAGGCCTTCAGGTGAGCTGCTGCTTCAGCTTCAGTAAACAAGCAGAGGTTTAAATCAGTTCATCCTCCTCAGCTTCATGAAAGCTGCTCAGTTTAATCCCAGTTTCTGAGAACATCGATCTCTTCACAGACACACAGCACCTCAGGGAACCATCCCACTCTGAGATCAATAGATCTTTATTTCCAGAGTATTCTTGGATTAAAGGATGTTAATCTAAGCCTAATTAGAACTGGGTGTCAATATCATTCCCTCTCTGCTCAGCAGCTTCACGTTCAATCCTGGTATTTCATTGTTTTGTGTTTTCAGGGTTGGAACCAGCAGCCTTCAAACATTTAAAACTAAACGTTTTAACTGATGGCCTCTGAGAAAATAAGCAAACAAGTAGAAATCAGAAGTAAAACTGGTCATTTTATTCCAAATGAACATGTTCAGAACATTTACACAAACAGCCAAACAGTTTACCACTGTTTTTGACAAAGGTCATGTATCCAATTATCATCGAAAGGAGGAAGTCAGCAGAATCTGTGATCAGAAGACATCATCGCTGGAGGACTCGGTGCTCCTCATCTCCTCCTGGTCTCTGTCCTCCTGGGGTCTGAAGGTGGACGGATGGACACCTCCCTTCACGGCTCCTCCTGTGTTCAGCTTCTCCTGCTGTTCATCTTCTGTGGTAAAAAAAAACCTCAACATAAAAGAAACAAGCAAATTTTCTGCGATCTACAAATAAGCAAAAATGTCTAAAATTAAGTGTATTTAGCCCTTATTTTAGCAGTTAAATAAGATGATTCGCCAATGGAATTAATATTTTCAATCTTAAAATAAGATAATTAGATAATATGCACTTGAAATAAAATAACGCAATTGTTTTTTTGTTTTTTTTTTATTGTAAATATAAATTGTCTTCAAGAATTGAGGAAAGTGTCTCACTCTCCTCAATTCAAGAAAAAAATACTTTTTAAATACAGTGTAAACTAAAGATGCAGATTTATTCTCCTAATTTTTAGTCCTGCATATTTTGTTTTCTTTATGCAAATTGTATAAAAATGTCTTTATTGTGTATTTTAGGTCTAATCTGGTTTTACATTTTTCTAAAATTCTTAATAAATATTTAAATCAAATAAAGGAATCTGGGCATCTTCATTGATATTTGTTTAATTAACTCCTTTAAAAGTAGTTTCAATAAACAAAATATTTTCTTTACAAAAATATGCTTACTATACAGTAATTACAGATCAGCTGTAATGAGTCTTTGTTGAACACTGCAAAAACAAACTAGAAATATTCAAAGTAAAGTGTATTTAGCCTTAATTTGAGCAGGTAAATAAGAAATATAGGAAATATTTTCACTCTTAAAATAAGATAATTAGATAATATGCACTTGAAAAAATACAATGCAATTGTTTTTTTTTTAATGTAAATTGTCTTGTTCCATTGGCAAAGTGTCTCACTTTACGGAAGAGGATTAGGGCCACTGAAAAAGAAAAGTTAACTGATTTTTAAATTTTATTTCAGTTTAACATGGGAAAAAAGTCAGAATTCTGAGAAAAAAGTCAGAATTCTGAGATTAAAGTCAGAATTCTGAGAAAAAAGTCAGAATTCGGAGAAAAAAGTCAGAATTCTGAGAAAAAAAGTCAGAATTCTGAGAAAAAAGTCAGAATTCTGACTTTTTTCCCATGTTAAACTGAAATAAAATTTAAAAATCAGTTAACTTTTTTTTTCAGTGGCCCTAATCCTCTTCCATGCACTTACTTCCTCAATTCAAGAAAAAAAAGACTTTTTTTGCAGTGTAGACTAAAGGTGCAGATTTATAAACATTTACACCAAATAAAGGAATCTGTGTTCTTTGTTTAATTAACTTCAACTGCAGTTTGATTTAATGTTTTATTTCTTTACAAAAAATCAGCTTTTTATACATTTATTCCAGATCAGCATTAATGAGTCTGATCAAACTTGGGTGTTTATTGTTGTTCAGCTCCGGATTGTTGAGCCGTGTTTAGATCTGCCACCAGTTAACCACCATGTTTACATCACTGCGCCTGTTTTCAGGGAGCTGAGGTCACTGATGGACCCAACTTGTCCCAGGATCTAATCTGTTGTAAGGACAGCAGAGGGCTGACTGAACAGTGGAGCACAGTGGTCTGCAGAAGCAGGAACCCTGGAAAGTGCAAACAGGCCTTTCAAAGGCTCCTTGGCTGGATGCAAACTCTCTGAGCTGGGCTGTGAATGGATTCAGTGTGCAGAGCGTAGAGCTGTGAAACATAGAGCTCAGTGTGGATCAGAACCACACCTCTGCTCAGGTAAACAGAACCTGATGGAGAGCTGAGCTGGGATACATCAGAAGCCCACATGACTTCCCCACAGATTCTACCCGCCTCATCTCAGCGGAGGAAAATCTATTCACTGATCAGAGTCTTCCTCTGCTCCCCCGCTGGGTCTCCATGGCAACATTACAACACTGCTGGACTTTATTAACAGGATGCTAGGAAGATGAAGCACAGCTGTAATGGGTCTGTTGTTATCTTCATCCCAGATCATATATTGATATTCATATTGTTAGTAATGATCTATATGCAGCATTTCTGCATAAATATTACTCTGTGATTTCCAGAAAACACAACAACAAGCAGCTTGAACCAACTGGATCCTCTAAACTCAAGATCCAGGGTAGAATAAGCTGCACTTAGCTGAGCAGAAAACCAACAGACTGAGCGTTCAGCTTTAGCCGCAGCTCAATGCATCATTTCAGTAGCAGCAGAAGCGCTGAGCTGGGAGGTGAGAGATCAGACATGCTTCCATGACAACCAGAGAAACTGAAGACGAAGCTCCGGTGTTCAGACAGACACCGCCCTGCAGAAAAACTGGACTTATTCAGAGACCGTGGTTGACTGAGAAGTTTTCAGCAACTCCTGGATGTATTCTCAAAGGGACGCTGTTCTTCCTTCCTAACAGCTGTGGAGAACATGTCCATAAATGGCTGCAGGTTTAATGGACCTGCTGGGGTGTGAAGATCGATCGATTAGCTGGTTTATTGACCGGCGTCACAAAGGGAAACCAGGAAGAACCGGCACCGCTCCAACTTCTTACTACGCTGCACTCTTTACTAACCCTTTAATGTCATAAGCATTAAAGGGTTGATAGAATGATTCTATAGGGTATTTGGTCCTTAAGGTCTCTGAATAGGATGTGTAACATTGGTTGGGCTGAAATGGCATATTTGCTGTTCTATGAGCCCTAATGCAGCCTGGTTAAAATCTATAGAATGAAACGACAGGTTTCCTTCCTTTTATGGTATGCTCATGAATATTTAGATGAGCTGTGCTCTGATTGGTTGGTTTACAATGAGCGAAGCTGCTGAGCAAAGACGCATCATAGCAACAAGCACCAGACGCCCTCTTTTCCCAGACAGAATTTCATAATCGTACGGGATTTGTAGTCGAAACACACGAATTGAGCTATCAGCTCCGGGGCTGGTCAGGGAACCCTGGCGGAGGGGGGCAGGGAGCCAGCGGGGAACGGAGCAACCGAACCCAACCCGGTGATGGTAGCCTGGTCACCGGCGGCCCCGTGCTTCTGTGTGTCTGCCTTACCGGCTCCCAGCCCCCCCTCATCTTGCTGTGGACGGGCGGCTCATGGCTCTCTGCTGAGGTCCGATCTAGTCAGCAGCCCAGCAGTCGACACTTCAAACAACAATCCCCTTAAGAATCAACTTAAGGTTTTTACTCCAGTAGAAGTGTGAAAGTACCATTTCTAAAACTCACCTAAAGTATTAAAGTAAAAGTAATGCAGGAAAAAACATTAAGGCCAGAAGCTTTACTGCTCTACCCTATTAAAGGAACATTTTTCTATAATTCTGGGTGATAACTTCCTTACACTTCATTTTCTCAGCTTTATAACTAATGGTGTCAAATTCAACTTTGCATCATCTTGAAAAACTATTTATTTTGGTTTGTGGTGAGCAACAAGTTGGGGCAGCACCGAGTCCAAACACAAAGAAATTCATTGTCTGGATAAAACTAAAATTATTTTGAAGGATCTTTTTTTTTTTTTTTTTTTTAAATACTAACAGGCCATAATGAAAATGAGCTTAAATGAAACAAAACAAAGGAGTATATTTTTGAATTGTAAGGAGTAGAAGGAAAAAATTTTACTGCCATATTTTTAGTTTACATGTTTTATTTTGTATTATGCAAAATTTTTGTTATTATGACTCTTATTTTGAAAGGCTTTTTTAGGAAGTGGAATCTAGTATGCTCGCTGGAAAACTAGAAAGATGCACACAGCATGAAGGCATGACATTTGCAAGAAGTTTTACAAAGAAATTTAAGTTTAAGAAGTCTTTTAATTCTCATTTCTACCTCAAAAGGAAGGGTCAGCCAGCGAGGTTTATATTTATTTATATTATTTTTTATGTCATTTTGTACTCATGACACCATCTCATTTAAGTTTATGTTGTGTTTTAGTTCAAAGTGGCAAAGAAATTATAAGAAGATTTGCAATAAAACTGACTTCACACCAGCAGTAACGAACTCTTTATTGCCGTCAAGAAGAGGTGGAAATGATAAAAATTACTCCAGCAAAGTATAGATAGCCAATATTTCTACTTCAGTAAGGTAATGAAGTATTAGTACTTTGTTACTCGACTTCAGGTTTTTAGTGACGTCTTGAATTATTCTGAATGTTTTGTGGCAACATGTCATTAATTTCCACGTCAATGATAATGATTTGTTATAAATCAGCGCAGCAGATGGACTGAACCATTTGAACTTGATGCGAACAGATAATCCTGACGGACTTTTCCTTCAGTGAGTCGCTGACGTCATACAGGAAGTTGTTGGTCGGATGTTTCTAAGAAGTGTCGCCCTCTGCATGCCTGACAACGTCGCCATGGTTACTTGCTGGGAGCCTGCTGGATATTTATAATGATTTGTATTTAGGGGGATGTCAAATGATTCGTCCCAAACTGGAAGGTATGAAGGTAAAGATGCCATGACACGTTATTTTAGACTTTAGTTTTTGTACGCTGCCGAACCCGCTGCAGGTCCTATGCTAAGGTTATCGTGTTTTTAGAGCCTGTTAGAATCTTGGCGCCTGCTTTCAGAGCGGATCTTCTAGGGAGGCCAAACATGGCGGCTGTTCTGTTTCCATCTATGGAACGGCTGATTTCAGATAATTCAATTTTATCCATGTTTTAAATTGAATATTAATATCCAGATGTTCTGCAGAATGCTGTTTTCTGTGACGATGTTAGTTTGGCTCTTCCTGTTTGTGCTCTAAGCCCCTCCCTCCGTACCTGCAGGCGGACTGTTCTGGCCGCAGGCGGACGTCTGGTCCAGCAGACCCACAGTTCTGGTCCGGTTCTGAGGTCTTAGATGCCCGTAGTCTCTGACCTCCCCCAGGCTCACCTCATCCTCCATCTCCTCCCTCCCCCAAGAGCCCTGAAGAAACAGTTGGGGTCAAAGGTCAGTGAGTGGCTGTTTAATGGCCTTCCTTTACCTGCGGCAGAAAACGGAGCAAAATCACTGAAACACAGAAAAAACTTCATCAGCTCCACTCAGAGGAAAATAAATCAACCAGAACCAAGAAATTATTATTTTTTTATATAATTGTATCTTTTTTAGATGCCAGTAGAACATAAATAATATCAAACTTGGTTTGAATTGCCTTTAATTTTCAGATGTTTTGTGGTGACTATAAGAACATCTGAGATCCTCCATAAAACCCAGAGATGATCCTAAACATAAAGCACAGATTATATGTTATAATCTTATATTGAGGACCTTTTGTTTCTGTTTAAGTTTTTATTTTTCAGGTTCTCCAGTTTGCTTTATTTTCTTCTGTGTTCTTTAGATTTAGATCTTTTGTGCATTTTTAGTTTAGCTCTTCCTGTTTTTGTCTTTTTTTCCGCATTTTTTGGTTTTATTTATGCTTTGGTCTAGTTTATTTATAGTTATTCTCCCTCTTATCTTTAAGTGAGGGTGAGGTTTTCCATGGCTTCAGTTTTCTCCAGTCGCTTCTCTTATCATGCAGTTTTATCCTTGCTCATTACTTATTTTGTAGTCATTAGATTTATTCCCCTTTTAGCCTTAATTAAGTTCTTTTCTAGTTACTTTTAGATCCTAATGTTTCTCCCTGGTTATTCCTCCCTTTTCTTCCCCCTTAGGCTCCTGTTACACCTTAGTGATTTATCCAGAAACGTCTAAGACGCTGCATACGCCAAACTTTCTATGTATTATTTCAAAATTGGGAGCAGAGTATTTCGAGCGTCTTCAGGCCCCGCCCTCACACTGAGGAAATCAAACAGGGCCACTCGGCGGCTGCTTTTAAATCCCGTTTTAAAGTGAATCAGTTCTGCTTCTGATCCTCTGATGGACTTTTTTTAAACAGCCTGTAATTCTGGACCTTCCTGTTTTCCGGCACCAGCTGACTGGATAAGTTAGATACTTCCCAGCTTGTTTCCAAAGCTCAGTTAAAGCTTGTTGTTGAGCTTGAGATCAGCTCAACAACAGAGGGAGGAAAACATTATAGAAAAGTTTGCAGATCTTCTGTAAACGGGTTTTATTCAGGGGAGCCACAGTAAAGGGGGCAGATGCAGAGAGCGCTGCTCTCCAAAGCAAAAACGCAGCGAGGGTAGAGGAAATGTTCAAGGGATGAAAAGATGATTTACTTAACCTGATCATCTCAGTTAATTTCGAAGTCCTTTGGACCAACCCACCTCAGGGTCCGGCCTTTGTCCTCCCTGATCCACCTTGGTCAGCAGGGTCAGCAAAAGGTCACGACCTCCAACCTGTTCCACAGTGGAGGAGTCTAAGGCCTGCAAGAGGGAATCAAACATTCTCCATGAATTTAATCTGAACAGCTTAGAAAAGATGAGTTTTAACAAAAGCAGGTTTAAGAAAAAAGAAACATTTAACCCACAGAAAAAAAGGGGGAGGAGTCAGGAAAATGCCCGCCTACTAATCAGACACCGTATTCAGCAGCTGCTTTGTGCCGTTTATCTCACAGACGAGGAAGAGTTCAAAGATTCAGGCCACCAACCCAAACCAAACATGGGTAGAGACTAATTACATTTACTCAATTAACTTTACTTGAGTAGCTTTTTATTTAAATATACCTTTAGGAAAAATCAAAAAAGTATCACTGCATGTTAATAGCTAGTAATAAAGCTTTTCGGAGTAAATGGGGAAAGGCTGACCCCCGTTGTCAATAACAATGGACTGGAATAATAGAAGAAATCTACATTATGTAAAAACTGACACATGGTTTGAGGCTTCAGTAAACTCAAATGTAAGAAAAGTGGATTAAATGGAAAACATTCAAGAGAAAAGACCGCCACAAAAAAAATAAAGAACCAGATAAACTAGATGGGACAAAGGCAAAATAGAGAAATAGCTCCCAAGCAAAGGTTTTATGCAGAGTGTGAAATACGGGGGGGTTCCGGGGGGGCTCGACCCCCCCGATTAACCCATGAAACCCCCTGAAAGCCTCAAAAGCAAAATTTAAAGGGGTCTTAAACTGTGTCAAAAAAATAAAATATATTTTGTCGCTAATGGTCACTAAAATGTTTTTAAGCTCAACATGTCCAGTATAAAAATTCAAAACCTTTATTCATAAATATGTTCTGTTTTTTTGCCAAGTGGAGCCAGCCAATCCTGTTCGCGTATGCAAATTAGCCATGTGCTTTTCCGCAGTTAATAACACGGGCAACGCGGAACAGATTGCGCGAAGACAGCAGGTCTTCACTCCTGTTTGTGGACCTCAACGGACCTCCTCTGGACAAATTCAACCCAGTTCCATTCGTCAGAAACTGGATTAAAGCAGGACATGTGCGTGCATGAAAGAGAGAGACAGACAGACAGTCTTTGTGCGTGTGTGTGTTTTCATAGACTGACGGTCTATTCAGGCTCTTGCCCGCTCCACCAGATTCACAGAAAGCTTCATCCACCAAGCTGTCAGGAAGCTGAGCCCCCCTCAAAAAAAAAAATCACTCCGGACAAACTGTCTCCTGCACTACTATTAATACGATATTTATTTACTGTTCTTTTGCACTGTTACTGTTACAAATGCTATATCTTACATAGTTGGTAATGATAATAATAACAAAAATAATAATAATTATTATTATTATTTTTCTGCTGCCATTACCATCTGCCTTTTTGCACTAGCATAAGTATTGCATATTTTATATTATTGTACATTTTATATTTTATTGTGAAATTGAATGTTTAAATTTTTGTATTAGGAACTGATCTTATCTGTTGTGCCTGTGCACTTTATCTGTTTCACTGTTGGTGAATGACAAACATCCTCTCCAGTCCTTGTATGTCTGGTGAATCTGAAGAATAGACATTAAAGCTGACTTTGACTTTGAAATGTTATAGGCCTACTGCATATTGAGAAAATTTAGATTGGTATTGCGCAACAATCGGGAGATGGGGAACCCCCCAAATATTGACAGGTATTTCGCACACTGGTTTTATGTTATGTTGAATGTGAAGTGTACATTGTTTATGTAAACAGCTGTGAAAAATACTAATAAACAGTTAAATAAAAAAAATAATAAAGTATCACTGCTTTTACTGGCTGCTCCATCAATTTTGAGAAACTTTTAGAAAACTTTGAACCAATCTGACCTGATGTTCTCGTTGAATTGTTTCTGTAAAGGGACTTAAGATGACATGCTTTAAATTGTAGCTATAGAAACTGGATTTAATAAATGAAAACAAGCTTGTTCTAAACAAATATATCCACCGCTGAGAGACATGCTCTCTTATTTTTTGTTTGTATTGAGGCGCATCAGTTTGCTGTGTCATTTGGAGGACGACCGAAAATAAACAGTTTACTGTCATTAAACCTGTTCTATATACTGCAACTATTGAACAGTATATTTATTGTGAATTTACTCGATATTTTATGTTAATTTTTGTCTTTTTTAAAAGACCAGAATTTGCATCACTTAATATTTCGTTTAATTTTCCAATATTCTGTAAAATGTTTAATGGGTTGCTTTGATCATGGGTAGGGAATAGCTGGGATTTTCTTTTAAGGATATATTTCACTTTAACCGCAGTAAAAATAACATGAACTGCTACTTTTATTTAAATACAATGTTTTGGGGAATTCTAGCCAACTCTACCCCCCGAGGTGTACAGACATTAAGCCCCGCCCACCATCTACACAAAGACTTTAATAAGCTTTGGTTTTATTTGTTCTGATCTTATTGTTTTTGGTTTGTTCTTCAGTAGGAAAATAAGAAGTTAGTTAAATCTAAAGGCTAATCAAATGTAATATTCACTGAGGAGGTATAAAACATCTAAAGGTTTATTTCTCTCTTAGTTTGGAGAGCGCTGGAAGCTGATGCTGTTTGGGAACTCCTGTTCTAAAGCAATGAATGCGAGTCTGACCGCCTACAGATGGACAAACCATCATCATCACAACAATGATTAAGGCCCCGTCCACACAAAGTCAAACCCTGGCCTAAACGTACACATTTTTCACCAAACCAGCCTCTCATCCACACGAAGCCGGCATTTCGGGGGTCTGTAAACAATCTTTTTTTTATTCAGCCTTCAGAGTGGGAAGATTTTGAAACGCCGTTTTCGCGTTTCCATCTTTAAGCTCTAACCGCATTTTTTTTCTTACACGCATGCGTCATAGCGTCGCCTCTAAACACGCATGCGCGACACAGTATCACAACAACAATGGCGCTGTACTGTGTTGAATGGTTGCTGCTCATGCTACTCACCCTGCTGTCGGCTTACAACAGAATCTTCTTCTTCTGGAATATCTCCAGGAAGAACAGAGCAATATCGACCACATAGTTCAGCACCTGAATTTGACTGAACCACGAAAATGGACCCGCAGGGCAACCATGTATAAATATTACTGCGCATGCCCAACATTTCGTCGCCTATTTTTGCTTTGGCACCACAGCGCCACTTACAGGCCTGGCATACATTTTGCAGCGTTTTCATGCATTCGTGTGGACGATCACATTTATTTTACGTCTCCATCTTTACGACAAACGTTCTGGAAAATATTAGCGTTTCCTGTTCGTTTTGACTTCGTGTGGACGGGGCCTAAATAAGCAACAGATCTGCAGAGAGAAAAGAAGAGAAGCTAAATGCTGTGAGGGAACCGGAAGAGAGGAGCAGGAGATGAAGTATGTCCTGCTGGGACCTGTAGGACACGCCGTGGACTCCTGGAAGGCTTGGAGGATGGTGCGTTTTAGGAGGATATAAAAGATGTTAGGATTTTCTGATTTACAGTACTTGGATTTCTCCTGTTAGGATTTGGGGGATACCTGATGTATCTACAATTACAGAGGATGTCAGCAGCAATTTAGGCATTGATCAAGCTGCAGGCAGCGGTTGATGCGCTCACAAAGGCTGTGAACGAGCAGGACCAGGAGCTGAGCCGTATGCTGGGTGCCAATGAACACAGGATGGCTGCGGTGGTTGAACTCAAAGGTGAGATGGGATAATATCTTGGATGAGCACGCTTGCTTCAAGGCAGAAACGGACGACAAATTAAGAATATTGGATTCAACATGTAGAGCCAGCAAGAAACGACTGAGGGAAAATTCCTGTGCAGCCTGCTCTCTCAAAACCTCCCCTGGATGTTATGGCAGAAGGGCCCAGAGCTGCTGGCGCCCCTGTGGTGCCGATTGATAAACTTCCATCTTATCAAGGACAATGGCCTCTGGACAGCGTTCATGAGAAAAACTGAACGCACTTCATCAAACACACAGACACAACTGATACTCAAAATGTCAGACTGACTTTCTCATGGCTCCAGCCTCCGATGTGACCCTCTGCTGAAAAGTTTGCCTCGTGTTTAAATGTGTTTTTCTTGATATCTCAAACTGTATCCTGTCAAGGATAAAGTGTGAAATATGTTTTTTTCCTCTATCTTTCCACAGAGATAAAGGCAGCGCAATAAGGGAACCGCCTCACGGTGGGGCTCTTGGCAATCATAAGAATATGGCAACGGCAGCATTCTGCAGCACCCATGGCCTCGGCAAATCGTTCTCCCTAACAGCCCCCCCCACCCCAATGTATGTGATGAATGGTTTGTGCTGAAAGTGAAATCTAGATTAAAATGAAAATAGTGAAATTGATAGATTGAGATAATGACCAACAGAGTTCTGCTGCTGATGGGAATTAATCCATCAGCTGGACGGGGGGATGGACCCAATTCTACTCACTTAACCTTTTATTTTGCCTCCATCAGGTTTGCTAACGACCACTGAGGAATCTGTTGTGTTCTTTAACTGAAATTATTTCCAAACCTGATAATAACCAGAACTGGGAGACCAGACACATGTTTCTCTTCCTACTGGCGACCCCCGGAGGCCAGAGGAGGAACTGCTGATGACATTCACAGAAAAGTGTGATCCCTAAGTGGGCAGAGATGGATAGATACTCACCATGTCCTCCACCTCACGTAGAGAGCTGGAGAAGCTGCAGAGCCCCTCCTCTTCTGAAACAGGAAAAGACACAGCAGGAGAGACATCAATGAGGCGCACTAATGGCGGCCTCCTCGATGGCCTAGTCAAAGCCTGATTCTAAATGATGGACAGTTTAATCTGTGTCAAAAAAAAAACATTTTAATGGATGTCACTGCTCTCACAGGAAGTGGTCAGTGCAGCTGGAGCTGAGTGATGCCTTCAAACACGTGAGAGCAGGAAGTGGCAGAGAAAGTAGAAGGGGTGTGGATCAGACCTGTGAGAGGGGCCAGCTGGTTGGCACTGATGAGCAGCTCTCCCTCTGAGATGTGCTTCAGAGCTGCTTCGGTTTCTGCTGTTACAGAGCTGCTGCTGCTGCTGCTGCTGCTGCTGCTGGAGCTGCTGGTTTCTGAAAGGCTGGGCGGCAGAGCAGGACTGGGTTCAGCCTCAGACTGAGCAGCAGCAGGGCGGCAGGCCGGAGGCTCATCCTCTTCCATGGACGCCACCCTGCACGAGAACAGCGGTTAGTGTTTCCTGAGCCGGGTGAGCTGCTTCGCTTCAATCTGGACCTGTCAGCGTACAAAGGCTGCTTCTGTGACTCCAGCTCCTCCTCTGGTCCATCCTCATCCAGGGGAAGTTTAGGGGGCGGGGCTTGAAGAGAAGCAGGGGGACTTTCTTCAGGAGAACGGGGCTCTGGCGTGGCGGTCGGCGTAGCGACGGGATCTTGGGTCACAGCAGGAGGAAGTAACATCAGAGAAGATCGTAAATGAGCAGAAATGAGCCGTTTTAGGTTCAGATCACATTGGATAATAAAGAGATTAGAACCAGAGAGAATAGATCTGTACGTCTAGACAGGTTAAAGAAGCAGAGATCATGACTTCTATCATACTGTGTTTACAGAGGTTGACATTCCAGGTCCAGAAACTAAAAACTTGCCTGGTTTTCCCTCATCCTGTTCTCCCAGCTGGTGATTGGTCCCTGACCTGATCCAAGTTCATCAAACTGAGGAAGACTCTTCAGCCAAAGCTGAAGATAGTCAATTTAATTCAATCTAGTTTATTTCTATAGCGCCAATTCTAAAAATATGTCATCTCAAGGTACTTTCCAGTTCACCAGATCATCCAGTC